AGAGAGAGAGAGAGAGAGAGAGAGAGAGAGAGAGTACACGGGGTCTGAGCGCTTTGCAATCCAACAATAACATAGAATCAGTGCACTGCGTTCTGACCAAAAGAAAATCTCTCGAACTATGTATCACTTTCGTTTAAAAACAGACATTTTAATTGCTCGTTCTGACATTTGAAGGAGTTAAATGATTTGACCTCACTTAAACTACTGGGCAAAGCATGCCAGGCCTTTGGGCCTTGATATTCAAATGACCTTTCAACCAATTTTTTAGGTTTCATAGATGCTAAAAGAAATTTCTTTTTGTCAGCTGATGATGAACTCAAACTGCGAGTTAGGATTCAAAGTTTCAAACACTTTGATAAAAAAAAATGATGGTGGATTATCCTTAAAGCATTTTGCTACCCTAGAATTACAAAGTTTTTTATCTGCTTAGTACCTATGTGGGGTTTTTTAATTTGCCGTTAAAAAAACCCTTGAGTTTCACAACATTTCAAGATTTTTCGAGAGGAATTATTTGAATATCATGATGGCGAATCCGAATTATCTTACAATTTTGATAAATCAGATGGAACATTTTGTTTCTGTCCTCATGGTTTTAGTAACTCGAAACAGTCAAAAATGTCAGACAGAACTTTGTAATTTGAAGGTAGTGATTTGTCACACAGTGGCCAACTTGTACATATATCTAATTCTTTTCTCAACAGAAAGCCAGTGCTGAATCCGTAAAAGACGTGTGTTTCTCTTTGTCTCTTTCCCAGGGAGACAGCGGAGGTCCTCTGGTGTGTAGCGGCCGACTGGCCGGCCTAGTGTCGTGGGGTAACGGAGACTGTACACCTGGCACTCCCGGAGTCTTCACGCGCATTGCTCGACTCAGATTCTGGATTTATGCGCGGTTGTTTTAAGCGCGGTGAAAGAAAAAAAAAAGCAAAACCTAAACAAGAACTAAAGTAAAACACGAGATTACGGAAGGCGCGTGCGTGAGCACACTCATACACACATAATATACATATAACCACTCTCTATCAATTCCTCTTCTTCTCTCTCTCTCTCTCTCTCTCTCTCTCTCTCTCTCTCTCTCTCTCTCTCTTCCGTGGGGAAGCGGTGGCTGTACGTCTGTTATCCCCGGAGTCTTCAAGCAGATTGCTCAACTCAAATTTTAGATTTATGCGCAGTTGTTTTAAGCACGTTGGAAGAAAAACAAAACAGAAACAGAAACAAAAACATAAACACAAAGTTTATTTCTTTTTCAGCTTTTGTAAGAGTTTTACGGCAGTTGCGACACAACAAGTTATAGGAATTGAGGAGCAAACTACACCAGAGCACCCACAAACCACCCACATTTAAACAAAAAACTACAAAAGGACGACGAAAGCCATTTACAAAAGCAGAGGCAGAAACAAAAACAAAAGTAAAAACAAATCAAGCAATACGAGTTCAAAGAAAACTATGCATTAAAAATGCTATAAAGGACAATACAATAATACAGAAAGAAGTTTTAAAATAATATTATAAGAATAAAAATACGGGG